GAAAGTGTTAAGTCATCGTACTGAAAGGGTTAAGTCATCGTACTGAAAGGGTTAAGTCATCGTACTGGAAGGGTTAAGTCATCGTACTGAAAGGGTTAAGTCCATATTGTATGCCTGTACCAAGGGAGTATTCAAGGTTAGTAAACACATTAATAATCAACAATAAAAAAATAAATAAGAAAAAAATCTATCAACGTACTTCTGGCCGCCAATGTGACTCCGGCCTGTGACTGCTGCAGGAGAGCCGCCATCATGGACACCAGCAGGAGTAGAAGCCAGTGTATCCTGTACATATTGTCGGGTTCTCTGTCTCTCTCTGTCTCTCTTCTGGTCCAGTGATACTTGGCTCTTGTTGCTGTTTTTATTCACTTGTTTTTATTTTTCTGTTATTGTTAGCACTGTGTGAATACTTTTTGGGGCCCTGGTTGTAATTTTAATATTTCTGTTTGATTTTTTTTGACACTTGTTATTTTTGGCACTGCTGTTTGGGTTTTTTTTTTCACTTAGTTTGGTGTTTAAATTTAGAAGTTTTTTATTTGGCACTGCTGAAAGATTTAATAGAAATTCCACAAAGTATTTTTTTTTTACAGTACGAGGCTATGTTTTTCTGTAGCCTAACGCATATTTCACATATTTTCGTTATAATCCTAAAGATACTGAAAAAAAAACATATTAACAGACAAGTTTGGTTAAAAATTGATCATCACTTGAGGAAAAAATATTGTTAATTCTTATTAAAGTTTAGAATTTTGACGAGAGGAAAAAAACTCGATTCTCATTTATTTTGGAGAAACTTTTAAAACCTTTGGATAAATCTAAGAAAGTATGGAAATTAATGATACTTTTCCACAACTTTAAGCTTCTGAAATAGATACGATATTATATACTGTAAGATTTTCTGTAGGCTGAGAAAACTGAACTCACAATGAGTAATAAGGAAATGGCTGCCAAGTGATCGGGATTTCACAAAAGAATCGTAATAATAATTCCTCGAAAATGAAGATGTTGATTTCTTCTATGTCATTTTGTTTAGTTTTAGTTTAAGTGAACCAATTACTTTTGCGCTTAAGTTTAATTGAACCATAATTTTTATCGTAAAGTTTAAGGGGATCATTATTTTTTATGTTCAAGCTTTAGTGATTCAGAATCTGTACATTATTACGTCTTTACTTTTCGATTAATGAAACAACGTACAGTGGTGACCTCTCTTATGTTGCTAAATACTCTCTGTTTTTCTCCACTTGCGATAATTTGGTAAGTTCTAGAGAAAAAAACACCGACTCCTAGTTGTTCTGTGTTTATTTCCACTTGTGTTATGTTTAAGTTCAAGAGAAAAGAAAAACTGCAACACAAAACTCACTCTCAAAACAACATCAAAATTCCACCTAGATTATCTTTACTCATTATTAAGCAGTGTGTTCTCTTAATCTTAGTTAGGAAAAGGAAAATTAATGAACAAAGTTTGAGGACTGACCCCCCCCCCCGACACACACACATCCTGGCTGGAGATTCAGAATAGCGTAACGATATCTCGACACATTAGCGACGATAACCTCCGGATGTGGTAACGTTAATCGCTTTGTGTTAAAAAAGATGAAATAGCTCGCCTAAGCGACTTCAATGAGTTCTCAAGGGTTTCTCAGGGCGTCAAGGACTTTTGTTGATCATTCAGGGCCGCCACACTTCACGCTTATCTATCCACCAACGAAACTCTTTCACAAAATTTAGTCAAAATTGATAAGAAAATGTTTACTGCAGGATGTGGTACTACTGTTGGCTTTTGTTGCCTTGTTTTGTGATGGTCGGGTGTTGCAACGATTAAAGTGGCTAGTGTTTCCTCTCTCTCTCTCTCTCTCTCTCTCTCTCTCTCTCTCTCTCTCTCTCTCTCTCTCCTGAGAATGGCAAGAGAGGCTACAATTGTAACTTACCACAATATTTTTTTTTTTATATATATCATCGTTGGTGCTCACAGCTTGTACCAAATTTCTATAAGTTCTCTTGAAGTTTAAGCAACTTTCTGTTAGTTTTACAATATTTGTTTATTTTTCGTAATATTTAAAAAAAAAATTACTTGTATATCCTTTACTCGTAATATATATGTATAACCACTTTTTGTTGCCAGAGAAACTTGTTGTTATAAAGACAAGTTAGTTTCAGTAATACTTCACTGGTGGAATTATGCAACTACAGCAGCAGCTTTGTGGTAGTAACTCGGTCATTCACAGTTATCTTGCTTTAGTCCCTCGTAACTCACACTACTAACTTCCGTGTAGTCACACGTAATACTCTTTATGTCACTGAGGTCACTCTTCACTCACACCTAACTTCGCTACTTTTGTCTCGCCCTGGCGCGATACTCCGGGGGGCGGACCAGCGAGTGAGGAGAGGAGTCCTGGAGCTGCCTCCTGCCGGCACCCCTTGACGTCACACAAGGGCAAGTGTACCGGATGTGCACCCGAGACAACTTCATCCCTACTGGTCCCTGCCTTCATATACAGTAAACACACGGCCTCACAGAGGTTCCTAGAGATCACGTCAATGGTTGTATTACTTCAGCAACATTGTCTTTACTCGTGGGAGCCTCGCACACCAAGCAGTGGACAATGTTGGTAATGAAATACAAACATTATTGTCATCTCCGCGATAATAAATAATGCAGTGCGTGTACATCATTCTGAGACACCCTGTATGTAGGTAATATATATCCATTAGCTGAACGGCGGCGTCTGATTGGCTGATTCGTTAACTACTGAAAGGCAAATGGCAATGAAAGCAACATGGGTAACCAAAGAAGTGAAAAATGTAATGTTCGGTAGGAATGAGACTTTTGTTGCTGTGCCAATTACATTTTTTCTCTCATGCGCTATATTTTTGTTTGCAATATTTCGTCTCTCGGTGGTTAACGAATCAGCCAATCAGACGCCTTCGTTCTGTAAATCGATACCTGTTGTCACTGTATATGACAACATGGTACTAGTCCTCTCTCTCTCTCTCTCTCTCTCTCTCTTTCTCTCTCTCTCTCTCAGGATTTGTTGGTACAGTTTATTATATTTTATTAATATTAACTTAAAGAGAACGATAAAAAATATTATATATTTGAGAGATAGACAACAGGAAGAATTACAGATAATTAGACACAGGTGTACGATACATTACATCAATATTATCGTATCTCACACCTTATATTTTACCAACTAGTTAACGTTACGATATTGGGACGTAGTTGAGATAAGGTTGATATACCAATAAACTAACCACGGAATATTATCCTTTACTGCATGTCGTTTATGTTCCTATATCGTAACGTTATTCTCTGCGATATCTTACCGAACACAGACACCAAGATAACGGGAAAATCGAGTGAAAAAAAATGCCTCAGGATATCGTTGTAATTTATATACGTTTTCAACTTCAATTACGAGAAAATATTGATCTTGAATCTTTGAGAATTTGGAATTAAGGGAATTTATTTATTTATTTGTGTGTGTCAGCTGTTCCTATGAGTGGTGGTTAATTGGGGTGGTGGTAGTGGTGGTAGTAGTGATGGTAGTGGTGGTGGTTAGTAGTGGTGACGGAGCAGTGGTGGTAGTAGTAGTGGTGGTAACGGTGATGATGAGAGGTGGTGGTGGTGGTAACAGTGGTGGTTGTAGTCGTGGTGGTGGTGGTAACAGTGGTGGTTGTAGTCGTGGTGGTGGTGGTAACAGTGGTGGTGGTGGTGTAGTGGATTTCTCCCCTACAAACGCTGTTTGTCACTGAGTAGCCGACTCCGCGAATTCCCCAGTGTATGCCTCGTGGTCTGGGTCAACCAGCGCCGCCATACATCACGGAGGTCAACTACTAAGCCACGCCTACCACCGCTATTTAAGACCTGACCTCGTGGTGACCTCTCTTCTTCCAGCTACAGCCACAGCAACCAACACCACCTCCTCCTCCGCCGCTGCCTGGCGGCCCTCGCTCCCGCCGGCGAGCATGGCGACCCACAAGCTGTCCTCCTCTGAGCATCCTCACCAACCAGCTCTCTCTACATCACGCTTGTAACCATGCTGCCACTTCCCAGCACCAAGCTGCCACTTCCCAGCACCAAGCTGCATTGTACATCCAATACAACATGTATACAGAGAGCACATTGTGAGTTTCCTTTCTCCATCCCATCCTGAGTCCGAACAAACAACCCGTACCCCACAGTGGTAACAGTGGTGGTGGTAGTGATGGCAGGACTCTCACCCTGTCTCGCTCATTATCATCTCCGCCCCTTACTATGTCCGGTGCATCCCAGCTCTCTCTCTCTCTCTCTCTCTCTCCCTTCCATGATCTCATTGTCTCTCACTACCATGATCTCATTGTCTCTCACTTCCATGGTCTCGTCTCTCACTACCATGATCTCATTGTCTCTCACTTCCATGGTCTCGTCTCTCACTACCATAATCTCATTGTCTCTCACTTCCATGGTCTCGTCTCTCACTACCATGATCTCATTGTCTCTCACTTCCATGGTCTCGTCTCTCACTACCATGATTTCATTGTCTCTCACTTCCATGGTCTCGTCTCTCACTACCATGGTCTCTCACTACTCACTACCAATCTCATTGTCTCTCACTTCCATGGTCTCGTCTCTCACTACCATGATCTCATTGTCTCTCACTTCCATGGTCTCGTCTCTCACTACCATGATTTCATTGTCTCTCACTTCCATGGTCTCGTCTCTCACTACCATGGTCTATTATCTCACTACCATGATCTCATTGTCTCTCACTACCATGATCTCATTGTCTCTCACTTCCATGGTCTCGTCTCTCACTACCATGGTCTATTATCTCACTGCCATGATCTCATTGTCTCTCACTACCATGATCTCATTGTCTCTCACTACCATGGTCTCGTCTCTCACTACCATTATCTCGTTGGCTCTAATTTTGTATTCCCTTAAACTAAATAAAGTACTTAACAATCATAGCCTCACACACACACGACTCACAAGTGTGAGGCAGGGATAAGGTTCGGACAGTCTACGTGTCTTTATTGTGTAAGAACTGTTATCCTGCCTCATCTTGTTTTAATGTCTAATCCCATGAAAAAGCTTTAGTTTATTACTGTGTTCAGCTCATTCCACTTGATGACTGAATGCCCTAATGCTTCCTAGGGGAGTAATGTTCCCTCTAAGCTGGGTGTTTGCTCGGCCACTCAACAGTTACACATAAGTGACAGAAACTTGTCTTTTTTGTCATATTAAACTAACATGTCAAACAGCGAGCCTTTTTATCTTGTTTTTATTATTATTTTTTTGTTTTGCTTGTTACATATACATTTGTATGTGATAACTTAAAACATGTTGAGGACTGCCTGCAGTACAGGTTCACCCTGATTTATGAAGCTTCTGTTTATGAAAATTCAATGGTACTTAAATAAATTGTCCTGTGCTTTGATTTACAAATAAAAAAAGTTATGAAAAAAAAGACTTATTTGGGTAAATTTTTCAGTAATATAATTATTAAAGATGCCAGCTTTGTGCTTCATACTGTTCAGTTTCCAATCTCGTTCAGTTTGTCATTCGTATAAAATTATTGCTGCACTACACAGTACAGTACTTTTTAATTTTTATTTTATCCTCTTTGCCACTGATCAGCTCATTAGCCACTTGGGTAGTCGGTCATGCCTCTTTTACACACTGTTGGTAAGTACTGGACATGTACACAAGTATTTCACTCATTATGTTTATTATTGGCTTACAATAATTGTGTACACCAATAAATTCAATATAAAAAAGGTTTTGTACCATTTTAATATGTTTGCGGAAGCTCTTTTTCATAAGAATGTATCTCAGCTTTTATGACGGGAGTCTGTGGGATTTAAAGAAGGTTTTCATGTATGGAACCTTTTCATAAATTGGGGTACAGTACTGTATATTGTACCTGAATACCATATATAGCTTATTGGTTCCTACTGACGGAGCCCATTTCCACTTTACTGTATAAAGTTGCCAACAGTTAGTAACAGAGTGCCAGTACATGCTTACAGTGCCAACAGTGCCTTGGTTAGGTTAGGTTTAATTAAGGTTTGGTTAGATAAAATTAGGTTTGGATAGGTTACCATTAGGATGGTTTATTGTAAGGTGAAATAAGCTGACGCTAATCTTCATGTGATCCACTTGTCATACTAATATTAAGACGTACAAAGGTGACCATGATACTGATATTCCCGGAGCATTTTTATAAATTTTATTATTAAAAAAATCTGTAAATTCATATACAATATAAAGCTATTCATGAGTAACAACAAGACACAGTCACACCACACTCCAAGACTGAGACATCTGGTCATTGTGGTAGTTGAACAGTCCTTGGGGTTTATGGAAGGTCGTTGCCACATTTTCGTGTACCGTAACTTTACACGCTCGCTCAAACACCTGAAAAAAGATCAAAGTTGGCTAAAATTAAACGAAGTTTGATATTTAATTTTCAAGTAATTCTACATACAATATTACAGGAACTGGCCAATTTAAGTTGATGTAATGTACTGCAGGAGAATAGACATGGGAAGAAAATGATTAAAAGTGGACACATGAGAGAGAATATTTCAGTAAACACATAGAGAAAGACAGAAAGTTAGGTGAATGAATGGAGTGAGGGAGTATACTTGTGAGAGAGACGTCATACTGGAGACAGTTGTAGATATGTTCAAAGACTCATACTGTATAGTTATGGATGGTGTGCCTCAGCTATCCTGCTCTATACTGACAGCAAATCCACAGAATAGTGACTGAGCCATACAAGAGTCAGGTTGATTAAATGTACCAGAAGATCATTAACTTACCTCATCATAAGTTGTTTCAACAAATTCTGAAATGTTGTATTCCACTGAAGGTAAACTCTTATTCAAAAACCCAGCAGCTTTAGAGACATAAGGCAGGACATGGCATTGCAGGGTGGCCACCTCCCACAGGCTGCTCTCAGAGGCTCGGCACTTGGCAGGGTCAGGTTCCTCCATGTCATAGGGGTCAGATTCCATGGCTTAGGAGAGACATAGGGCTGTTAGTTATCATCAGAGAAAGAATTAAACCAATAATGGGTCATTCATGTCTTACCTTCACCGTCAGATTTTTCTTTGTACAGTACTGTACTAAGGAGTGTTTTACCATTCTGTGGTTCTGATATAATATGTGACGAAAAGCAGCGTTATTAGTTATAAACCAATCATATTAATGACCCAGAAGCCAGATATTGCCAAATGTTCAGGGGATTTTATTTGGAAATGTACAGCAAACTAATAATATATTTTACCTTTTACATTGGGCTTATGAATGAGCTTCTTTAGTCCTGGGTATCTGATGAGAAGGTTGGCAATAAACTTGAGAATCAAGACAAGAGATGGTGTTGGTGCCACCAGAGAGAGTCGTGCCAGACGCTTGACAAAAGCAGCAACGATGTACTCAGGGAGATAACTGTAAGAGGAATTATAGTAAGGGGACTATATTGTTCACTCTGGAGAAAAAACATCAAAATACAACCAACTCGAAGGGAAAATCCACAAAGATTGTTTAAGAAGCGATAAAAATTTTTTTTAACAAGCCGTCTGTAGAGTACAGTACTATAAAATTAATATCCCATATATATGAAGCAGTGAACCAAATTTGTGTGATTTTCAAACACTTTGGTTACCAGAGTCATAAAGTACTCACGAGGAAGCAAGGAAGCGGTCACAAAGCATGAAGAACCTCGCTTTATACTTGGCATGAAACACAGTTGGGTCCAGCAGGGTGTACAGCTTCGTGTAGAAGTCCGGATACTCCCTGTCACGATAAAAATATTTGTATTAAGTTTGTTTTCATGTTTTGAATTAAAACTGGCTTATTTTGTCACTACAGCACTATCAGTCTGTTGTAATGCTGTACTTCTTAACCTTTATCAAGATGGGAGGTCATGAAACATTACGTGGTTCTTGTGTTATCATTAGTAATAAGCCATTTCGAGAGTTTGGTGACTGGTGAAATGGCCCCAGTCCTCCTACACTCCACTCTTGTCTTGCTAATAGGACTGGGACTCAGTCCTAATGGACCCATATCCCAATGGGCCCCAATCCTAATGACCTGCTTCAGTCAGCCACAAGGAGAAGTACCAGAGATGAAATAAAAAGAGTGCTCATGCTCCCCTTGACAGCTGCCTCCTGTGGTTACATCCACACTACACAATACCACTCAGTGGTCTGCCACACTTCCTTGGACAATACTGTCCTTTTCATAAAGGGCAAAGGGAACACTAATTTTCTTCCAGTGACGCTTGTGCAGTACAGGCAAATGAGACCAAGTATCCCATTACTTACAATTAAACACTGAAACTACAGTATATAAGGAAAAGGACTAATATTTCAAGACCCAATTACTGTACAGTATATGAATACACAAAGTTGTATTTCAGCAATCAACAGATGACACATGAATTTAAAGCATATGTTGAACACGAGGTACAGTCTATGTACTGGTATAAGACTTACAAGTTATGTTTGTGCACCAAGATGAATACTCCTTGAAGGGCCAAGAGACTGATGGCTCCACCTGCAATAATAACAAATGGTGAAGAAATTTTTAGAACAACTGTACTGTAAGTAGTGGAAGTGTTGGGTCAAGAGAGAGAGAGAGAGAGAGACAGCTTGTGTCTTGAGGATATGGTGGAACACTTCCTTCTGGGGCAACAAGTCATGGGTATGGGGAATAAAGGGAGCAAAATAAACTGCCATAACACAACTGCTTCGAGGCTCCTTTAACATAGCCATCCCCTCAGAGAGGAGGTTCCAAATGGATTGAGGCACTGGAGAATGAAAATATGATAATAATAAAGAATAACTCGCAGTATACATAATACAAGAGCTACCAGACAAATAGCTACAGACTGCTACACCAGCCTCCCTTTGCCTGTCTTAGATTCAGACTTTCAATACACTGGCAGCTTTGGACTTTACCTACATAAGAAATATTCCAGGACAACTGTGATGAGTCATGGTCAAGAACATCACCTTACCCAATCCATATTTTCCCAAAAACACAATATTTCAAGCTTTACCTCAATCAGTTTCAATTCAGATTACTTACCAAGGTTATAAGACTCCATGAAGAAGTCAGTGAGGATAAGAGGCTTGTCAAGGTGGTGCATAACCTTCTCAGGGATGAGGACAAGAGAACGACGATACAGGTCTGGTGTGAGAGAGTACTTGAGCACCTCTGACCAGATGTTGTTGAGGGCTTTCTTAGCTTTATCATATGGGATGGTGAACATAGGTCGCTCTTCCAGTCTCTCAACTACTTCGACAAAAAGGAAAAATAATTATGTAAGACTTTTGAATAATCTCTGTACCTGAGTGCCTTCTGATATCTCTGTGTAAGGGACTGTTTATGTCTGTGTATGTATCATGTGTGTCTGGACATGGTTTATTCTGTCAATGTGCACCTACCACACGAGCATTTAACAATGCCTGTTTTAATCTGCACATAAATGTTTAAGTAAAACCATTTGTGTTTGGATGTACATGTCTGTCTCCTGCATGTGTGAATTCATTTTAAACTGAAATTAATCGATATATGGTATAGCATTGCAGTATATTTACCTAACTGTCAAATAAGTTATCATCCAAAATCGTGCAGTGTAACACAGGCAGTGTATGCTCCCTGCACACCTTTAAACACTTCTCCATGTTCAAAATCCTCACCCACATACTCCCTCATTTTGTCCATCAATATCTCACTGTAAAAGAAACATCATAAAGACTTCCTCCTTCATCCAACTTCCTTACCATCATCAGCCTCAAAAAGGAGTTTGGGTCGATCAAGACTCACAGCATCTTCCATCGGGATGTTTATATGCTCCAGCAGGAGGAACAGATTAGTCATGAACTTCTCTGTGATCTCTTTATCTTTCTGAATTTTCACAATAGTACTTAAGACCTGTAGATTAAAAAGTTGTTGTAGTAAAACTGAAATGGAAAAAAGGAAGTAAGTGTATATGAGGCAGTGTACTGTACTGGTAATATAAGTTATTCCAATAATATTACAGATAAATAAAGACACAGACCAAGAGAGTGTAGAACATGAAGTCTTGGCACTCCATGTACTCCAACAGTAGAGTGATGAGGTGCCGGTGATCCACTTTGTCTGACACCAGCTTCATCAACAACAACTGTGGAGGAACACACACATTAACATTTTACTATCACTATTCTATTACTTATTGTAAAGACATCACACTCCATAAGACAAAATAAAGCTCTACATTCACTGTATTATAATTAAACAGTGACTTGCTATTATAACGTACTTCATATCCCTGTAAAGTTATCAAAGGATTCCACTCCACGTTACTACCTCACCTGTAGACTGTGTTACCTCACTCACCTGTAGACTGTGATACCTCACCTGTAGACTGTGTTACCTCACTCACCTGTAGACTGTGTTACCTCACTCACCTGTAGACTGTGTTACCTCACTCACCTGTAGACTGTGTTAACTCACCTGTAGTCTGTGCTGAGGGAAGTGGTAGGTAGCATTGGGTCTCTTCTTCACTGGGTGCCGTCCCTCTGACTGTATTAATTTGACCAACGAGCAGAGTGACAGTTCCCGCACTGATCGTTCTAACAAAAAAATAAGAATTAATAAATCAAGAATACTATATTTTATGAAAACTTATAATGCATTTACTTCCTAACAACCATATGTAAAAATGGTTGATATCATTGTGGGTTGAGAATGAAGCTAAATGCTGTTAAATTAAAACTACAGAAATGAGTTTGCAAGCGGGTGTGTCTTAGGTTAATAAATTGGATAAAACAAGAGTATTGAAGCGTTTGGGATATTTTGGAATGGGTAGAGGGAGGCTGTGCTGTGTCATGGGAAGGAAAGATAGAGGTACAGTACTGTATATACAAAAGACAGAATGGAGAAGAAGATAAGGGGATAAAGAGGGCAAAATAAATAAATAGTGATAAGATTTCCTGAAGTATATCCCAACACTATAATTAAGTTTTATATCATAATACCATAAAAGATACATAACTATGGCAGTGATTAGACCACATCTTGTAAGTGGGTTTCTGTTCACTACTACAGTACAGTTTACTGATAATGTGTTTCAATCAGGTAACAATTAAAATGAGATGAAATATTTTTTTTAATTTCCACTGCGTTAGATATATGGAAGTGATTAGGTAGTACAGTTCCCACGTTATGTCATATAAGAGATGTCAGTACAGTATAAGTCATAAATACATGTACACTAGTAATGTAATTGTCATATAAGAAAGTAAGATAAATGGAAACATTATTAGTGCATGAATAAATGAATGAACAAAGGGTGACTCAGTGAGAGAGGTGTTTGATGTGATCTATTTTATTATATACAAAAGTTCTGTCAACAAAACTTATAAACAATAAATAACAAGTGATGAGTTACTACCTTCGTGTCCGAGAAGACTGAGTATTTTCTTATATGTCTCCTCATACCTTCCATACAGCCACAGGTTAAATTTGTCATTTGCCGTCTGTGTTACACCTGTGAATAAAACACCCGGAGGTTGTTAGCATCTTCTTGTAGCTGTTGAAGCAGTTGGTCTTAGTGTTTACATATGATCATGTGGTGGTTTAGGGGAAGTACAGTACTGTACTAACAATATTCACTGGTAGGTATTTCCTGCACACTCCATAAACACCTCACAAACTTATGTCAGCATTTGGAAATAAAGTCTGACTAAAATTAAGGTCTATATTAGCTACTAAAGATTGTTCAAATGATAAACATGAGAATTACAATTATGCTGGACCAACAAAGCAGTTTTCCATCCTTGTGCCGATATGTCAGAAATGAACTCCTAAGTAGTTCAGGTCATTAATTTAAAATTAAAGACTAAAATTTTTTTTTTAAACCTTTAAAAACAACACAGGCACAGTACAGTCCTGTAAAGTTTGAGATTTTTTCAATCTTCATTTTCCTCACAGTTTTATGACAGGTGTTTCACAACACGGTCATTCAGTGTCCCGGGTCAGACAGTTGTGATTTTTAGTCTAAATAACTGTTTTTTATATGATTTCATTATGCTATATATTCTCATTCTCTGTAAGATGTACATAATGATATTCAACTTATTTTCTCTACATTATTTTGATGTTTTTAATATAAATCACAGTCTGGGCTTCAGCTTTACACAGAACTACAGTACATTGTTCTTTAACAAAATACAAATTAAAGCATAATTTCTTACCAGAACCTTTAGGTGGAAGTTTAATGTCTTCTTCATTAAACAAGTAAGTAAAGATATGATGTATCCCAGTTATGGCAGATGTGACTGTCCCCGCTTCATTGCTCTGAAACATATAAATATGATGTTAAAATTCTGCTGAAGCTTTCATCTTTCTACCATAACACGCAGCTAATGTACCATACAGTAGTGGTGAGCACTGTGTGTTTGACATATACTGTATAGTAATGGTTGCTCCTCGTGTAACGAGGATGGCCGACCCAAGGGCCACCTAGACGTGAAATTGTTTAAGGTGTAGAAGCTGTTGCCAACACAAAAACCACACCCTAAGTTAAATAGCTGCATGATCCAGTGTAAAGGAATAGTCCAAGAAGACCGGACACCTAGCCAACTGCACTGGCTAACCATTACCCCGGAATACGATCCGCAAATCGATTAACATCCAGGTTCCCAATTACTGCCGAGTAGACAGAGGCAAATGGCATAAAGAAACTTGCCCATAGTTTCACCCTGCCCGGGGATCGAACCAGGGTCGGCTCGCTTGCCAGGCGAGAATGCTGACCATTACACTACAGGTCGTGCAGTTGGCGAGTTGTCCGGTCTTCTCGGACTATTCCTTGACACTGGGTCATGCAACTCGTTAACTTAGGGTGTGGTTGTTGTGTTGACGATAGCTTCTACACCTTAAACAAATTCATGCCTACGTGGACTTAGGGCCGGCCATTCGCGTTACACGAGGGGCAACCATTGATTTATATATATATATATATATATATATATATATATATATATATATATATATATATATATATATGTACTATAATGAAACATCCTTAAGTTGCTTCTTCTCAGTGTTCCAGACCATTACAGTGTAGCCACTGGGGTCTTTAATTTCTATTAGGGTCCCACTTCTAGACTTTCCACCTTACCTCCAGACGGCCAAATATATCCACAATGACGTTAGCATTCTTAACTTTGTCAGCTTTAAATTCCTTGAGGAGGACTTTCATTGTCCTCTTGGTCGTTTTATCAGTCATGGTTAGTGAGTGAAGAGCGTCCTCGCCATGAGACACACCGGGAGTGTTGCTGGATGAGGACCCACACCTCCAGCCGCCTCCCTCACACTCCTCAGGAATAATAGTTTACATACGCTTTACCATTTATGGACATTTATTATATTTTTATTTACAATATTAGTATTTAATAACACAAATATATTACTAAAAACTTGAAATATAAGAGATTATTTTATTAAATAATTACGAAATATAATAATATATAATGAAATAGTATCACCGGGATATATCAGTGAAGATTCCTACAAAATGTTAAAAGGGAAAACTTTATCCAGCACAGACTGTTGATTTACCTGTGACTTAAAGTTTTTGGTTTATTTAAATGTTTGTTGTAATACACGTGACTGAGTTTTACCTCTTAAATACCCAATTATTAAAGTTTGCAAAAGACGGAAGTAAATAATACATTATATATATTTAATGGTGGAATCTTTATAAATTTTTGAGGGATTGTTAGTTTTTTGCTTGTGACTAATTCAGAATGGGAATTTAAACATAGTTAGGTTAGGTTAGGTTAGGTTAGGAGAGGAGAGGTTAGGTTAGGAGAGGTTAGGTTAGGTTAGGTTAGGTTAGGTTAGGTTAGATTATGGGGTATTATCTTCGTTTCAGTTATCGGGCGAGTCTTAGAGATTTAACTATTGGAATTAGTAGCTTAGACAATTCTGCCACCCAGTTTGGAAGTTAGGTTAGGTAATATGTACGTCATTTGCGAAGGAAACTTCATTGAAGAAAATTGTCTTAGGGTTGTTAATCTTAAGATGAAATGAGCTGGGAAGTTAATTCTAATTTGCCTGCATTATCTGGGACAGGAGACACATATTGTCAGTGTTTCAATTTAGCCTGTACTGTACTGTATATTTGAGAATTTCAAGTGGTATTAAAATTTTAAAGTACAGCAGTTTCAAAAAGAATTTCTGGTACTCTACATTGATAACATTTTCTCCACCATAAGAGTATGATACTAGTCACCTTATTCAACACCAATCATCTTATCTTCAGGAGGTCAGTCTTGAGTCTGTCTCACTGCAGTATAGTATTTATTTCTTATAATGAATTGTATTTTTACAGCACTTGTTTCAAATCATCTTATAAATTGCACTTGTCCTTGTACATGGAATTTTTCTTTCAAATAAGGTTGAAAAATGTTTATGAAGAGCATTTACTGTAGATGTTAAAATTTATTTTGGAAAATATAACAATATAAACTGAACGTGTTATACAAAGATGACAGGATTTACAATTCCGTGACACCTCCATATAACGGACGTCTCTCTCCATACAACCCATTAAATGGGGGGGGTTCACATCTAACAGACCGTTGATATATAAAAGAATTTCATCTCCCTGTATTCTGTTAAATAGAGGTTTCACTGTAATAAAGAAATGTGAATGTAATGAGGGTAATATTTTCAACACAGTACAGTACAGTACATACAAAATATCAGTGTTTATGTAAAATATGAAATTAATATTGCACTGTATATACTGTCCTGTTTATCACTTCCTCTTGACTATATTACAATGTTACAAAATTTAATACCATACCATACTTGGCTAATCAATGTTGATAAAATATTACCCAAACTTAACTAGTGTACAGTAATGAAAACCTTTATAATTACCAAAACTGCCACTGTATAAAAAATATTATCTTAAGAATCTTGTACAGTACAGTACAGTACATGGTTTTTGTATAAATGCAGTTATTTTTAACTGTTTTTAATTAACATAATTTCTTAAATGCTGCAACAAAAAAGCCTATGGTGTCTTCATCAACATGCTGTACATGTACATTAGTGTAAGGAAAAGGACCAAACCTTTGCACTTTCTCACACTGTTCCTTGGTTAGTCCGCAGTGTGGTAGTCCTGGTTTACCAAGCTTAGGAGTTGTATTTATCAGTTCAACATTTGGAAATTTATCCAGAAGCCATTTAACCATTTTTTCATTCTCCTCAGTAACAATAGTACATGTGCTGTATACAAGTTTACCTCCTGGCTCAAGTAACTCTACAGCCGTCTTCAACAGTTTACGCTGCACAACAGGAAATGAATGCAATTCTTTAATATTTGTTTTGGTATGACTCTGAGGACGCTGACCAAGTCCACTGCATGGAGCATCAAGTAAAATCCATTTGAATGATGAAGGCGCGTACGGTGGAGCAGGGGAGCTAAACTTTAGGTCTTCAGCACTGTTGGCCAACTCACTACAGATTTTATCTACATTAATATTTGAAGGAATCTTATTAAATACCTCACCCCCTTTCTCCTCATCACTTTTGAGATTTTTATCATCAGATGTCAGAATTAAATTTGTACTATCATACTTATAAGCGGTTATATTGGTGAGGCTTAATCTGTGAGCATTTGATCTAATTTGCTCAATCTTATTATGTGACCTGTCAACAGCAATGACCTGCCCAGTGTTACACATAAGCATTGCAATATGTGTTGTTTTACCACCAGGAGCTGCACACATGTCTAGGACTTTCATGTGTTTACTTGGATTAAGAATATGACCACATAAAACTGATGGCAAGTTTTGGAGGAACAACAAATTCAAGTGACAGCTTCCTAAACTTGGAGAGTCAAATATCTGTTCTTTCATAGACACTGCTACACCAGTGGATTTGGATGCTTGAAAAAGTTCCTTCCTACTCTGCAGTGCAGTACCATTCCCCAGGAACATCTTGGAACCTCTGAAATCTTTGCATCCTCTTAAGCAAGTGTCATTTAGATCGGCAAACACAGCTACTGCATCTCCAACTTGAAGATCCGGAGTAGCTCCTAAAACACCAGGAGCAAACACCTCTGCTCCACGCAGAACTGCTGAGCCACACATTCGTCCTACTACCACCTCTTTTGTTGCTGGCTTTACCTTCTGGATTCCATGAGACTCTACAACTAATAAATCTGGCAGCTTGTGATGCTGGTACACTAAAGGAAGGGGAGTACTCTTTCCCACATGTTGGAGTCTGAGCTGCTCTTCTACAAGGGCCACAGCTTCACTCACATTAGTTTTAAGTAAGTTAACTCTGACAGTAGTAAATCTGGGTGGCAAAGATAAAGATGTAAGAGCTTTATCTATATCATGATGGAATTCATTAAAGTCTGTTATAAATGGCTTCTTGATACATGTATTATCTTCTTGATTTTTGCTGGCCTCATTGTCATAGTTATGGGTGACAGATCTCAGAGATTTCCTCAAATAGTCAGTTACTTCAGGAAGAAGTGGGTTGAACTCCCCCAGAATATATTGTTCTTTGCTGCTCAGGCATTCTGCTCCTGCCATATATAAGCTGTTGAGAAAAAAAGATAAAACTTTAGTGTTGATATATGTTCAGTACAGTACAGGAGCTTCTTTCTGTATCCAGAAGAATGCTGTGAAAGATTAAACATTAAAATAATTACATAAAAAGAGTTGGATTCAATAGTTTTTACTAAATACCAGCAACTTAAGGGCATTTACCCATTTAAGATAAATTATGTCTTACATCATGAGAAAGCTAAAAGGTGGAGGGAAAAAATTATTTGTACAGTATAGTCTCGGTTTACGCGGCCAATTAAACCCACGGAGGTCTGCGTAAAACGAGAAACGCGTAAAGGAAATAACAGAACATATGGGATTAATTGAAATAGAGACTGGGCCGACCCCCAGACTACCCTTTTTCCGACACAATACTTACGTTGTAGTAAAAATAACATCTTAATTTTATGATGGTACGCACACACAATTACTATTCAAGATGAATATCAATATTCTTAGGTTTTTTAACACTTACGTTAGTAGAAGAGATGGCTGGGCACACGGGGATGGGGGTTGGTTCCAAGGCAGAGGGCAGATTATTGGCCCTCACCTGTATCACCTGTATCACTATCCACCACAGAGGCTAGCAGGGCCTCTTTGTCAAACCCCTCAAAGTCCATATCCTCACTATCACTGACTTGGGCTGGCTGTGGTGGGTGGCGGGTGAAGAACTCGGTAATGTTTTGTTGACTGGGCAAGCAAGGTTAAATAGACCAATCACAGCTCGTGGGTGGTAAGGATGCGTGGCCCAATCACAGTCCGATACGTCATCTGACATCAGCGGTGACATAAGAGCCACCTAGCGAGCAGCTTGTCCGCGCCGCTTCCCGTGTAAATGCTGGAATGTACCGCGTACTGTAACTGATAACTGCCGCGTCTGGACAGGTGCCGCGTAAATGACCAACCGCGTATAAGAAATCCGTGTAAACCGAGACTATACTGTATTATCATTTACAATTTTTCAGAGCCCTAATGCCACTGCCTCTTTGTTTACATGTGGCGAGTCTGGAATGTTACATCGGTTCCTTTCATAGACAAGTCTCTTTTTTATAGAATATGGTAACTTATTTTAGGTTAGGTCAAGTTAGGTTTGGTAGGTTAGGTTGTCAATATTGTTTTTGTACATTTTTAGGGTGATGAGTGGCTGGTGTAGTCTTCGACAAGGTCCGGGAACATTCATTCATAAAATTAACCATCTTATTCTACCTAACCTAACTTAAAATAATAGTTAATATCGTCAAGTATTACCAGATTCATTTTTATTGAAAATTCATCGCAGATACTGTGTAATCTCCCCGACATTACTGCTCTGGAGGGAAAATATCGTAAAAATTATATTACAAATTAGTTTTTCTCATCTGCTTTTTGGCCTTCTAATGAGATAAGATAAATGGTATTATTATAGTTTGGATCATCTGAGGAATCGTAGGAATTAGGTTAGGTTAGATATCCAAACTACGCTTTTCCGAAGTTTTTCTGTGTGTTTTGAATGATTTGGACCTCTATCATAAATCATATACAGCAGTTTGGATATCTCTAAATACAGGGATGATCGAAACTAAAATTTTATCAAGATTATTCATTCTTCACATTTTTCTGTAATACTGATTATCAACCTTTAAGACCTTTAAGCCTTTTTTTTACACTATCGGTAGGCAAAGTAAACTAAAAAATAACCTGTAAATGAAAATCTTACCCAAATACCTACATGTACAGTATATCAACTTGTAACTCAGGGTCGTCTTATTCCCCAAAAAATCACTTCTGGGGTAAATAATTCTAGTCAACTCCTACAGCTTGTTATTATTATTGTTACTCACCCTATCTCTGCCAATGGTCACTATAATAACGAGGAAAGAGACAACAGAAAATTATTGACTTTTGTAGTGTAGTACGAGTGGTTGTTCCTACACCCCCTAGATGGCTCGGTCATCGGGCACTATTTTTTACTATTTTTATTACATAAATTTTCGGTTTTTATAACGTGAGGTTCTACAGTATATTGGGGCTTATTTTTCGCATTTCTTCACAGTATTAATAGAAATATGCTTTAAGAAGCTAACTGGTGCTTATTGTATACAATGCTGTGTTCATTTACGCCTTGAAGCAACTACAGTAAATAATACGATTAAAACGATTACTATCTATCTAGACATACGTATCCGTCTATCCATGTCATCTATCTCAACATCCATCTATCTGTCCATTACTAATCAGTGGTAACAACCCAGAAAGGTAATTACCGCATTATTGTAGTCGGGGAAGTAATTTGTCATATTTTTCCAGGTAAGGTGTTCTGATTTAAACGTTTTATTGATTTGAAAAGTATTCTATTATTCTTAGAAATAAATAAATGCGTTGATACTAAAATTGAAGATGTTTTTGTGATATATATATATATATATATACCTTTTACACAGTAATTGATATATTTGAAATGTTGGCACCCATGTAACCAAAGACTATAATAATAAAAACAGGAAAGCGTCTACGTTTATTGATAAAATAAAGTGAGCCACCGAGCTGCCCATGTTTCCATGGTAACCAGCGGAGTGAACTGATATTTTATTACCTTGACGTTCTTAATGTGTACACATGCACACACATACACACTGACACTAACTGCAGATGCAGAGATGTTCAATGCATAGACCTCTTGGAGAAGGGTAATAAAGGCGCAGAGAGAGTCATAAAACTAAAAATTAAATTTTTCAAAATTTCAAATTTCTTGGGGAAAATGGAAAAAAAAAATTACCCGTAAGTCAATATTTATATATATATTTTTTTTTTTGACCAGGTTTAACGTCGAAAGAATTTGCCGAATGATAATTCTCAGTGTCCGGAGACTTGTCCCTTCAAACTATCATAAACAAATAAAATATAAAATATGTATAATGCACAACAGACTACCTGGACTTGGGGAGAATAACTCAGTGGGCCAGTGAGACATTGTAAGTATCCTAATTTTATAACCCTTGGAAATGCGGTACCCGCCAAAAATTGACGAGTGGAGCTCTTAAGGAATGGCATGAATTTTTTACCCATAAAGCCAGGCAAGAATTTTTATTGTATGCTAAAATTTTGTCCATGAATGATTTAGGCCTTTTGGACTTTGAAAATAGTTTAGAGCAATGAATTTTAGTCCCTTCACTATGATGAACTAGTCCCTTGATTACAATGAATCATCCCCTTGACTATGATAACCTAGCCTTTCAATTATGATAAAATAGCCCCCTTGAGTATGATGACACTACTCAGTGGGTTGATCATCATACCTGAGGGGCCACTTTGTCGTGTAATGAAGGGGCTAAAGGTAGTGACTGTATTCAGGAGGTTGGCATCATATATCTAACAGGTCTCGCACAATCGTCTTTTCTCTATTTTTCTGTCCACTTCATCATTCCAACACATTCTGCACACCTGGCTGGGTCCTTCATCCAACCACAATGAACAAAACATCTTTTATTATAGTCCAGCATCTTGATACACTGCCCCTCACTCAAATTTATCTATTCATATATAACTAGTTGAAACTTTGGGATGCCAACCCACACACAAAGATTTATCCTGAAATGTTTCAATAACAATTCAGATTACTAAATAGTAACCCGAACTATATCACGTATATATGGTTTAAAAAAAATAATTACGGCTCGGAGGGCCCTTTGGGATAATATTAAGTAACCCGAATGACTTAAAAATGGCCCAGAGACACAGCATCGCCTGGGAAGATATTGAAAGCATAATGTATTGTCTAATGGTAGACCCTGCTGCTAAATGGCATTAAAAAAATTGTGACCAAGTCCCAGGCTGCTGATCTGACTTTCTGTCTCATTGCACACAATTGCAGGGTCTCAATTGTTTCTCTTACTATGACAACACAACATACAGTACATATATCGTTTCTCACTGTTCTTATTATTATTATTATTATTATTATTATTATTATTATTATTATTATTATTATTATTATTATTATTATTATTATTATTATTTCATCCCCAGGCCCTGATGTGGGTCATTGACGTGTGGGCTAATCCCGTAAAAAAAAAATGAAACTAGCAAAATACAGTATATTGTTATCTATACATATTAATTATTACATGGTGACTGAAATTATGGTTCCTCTTTATTATCAAGTTCATTTCATTGATTTTTTTAAAATTAATTTCGTAAACATATTTCAAAATTTTCAAAATACTTTATCAAATCTATTTTTAATATCTGGCTGATCAAATATTCTTGAGATACTTACATATTTGTAGATTACAATTTGCCGCCTTTTTAAGTCTTTCTAAAAATCCCGCCCATCAGCAGAGCGGCTGATCAATCATCGAAGAGACGAGGTCACGGCTAGACGCAGCAGGTTAGTCGTCCTATCACTATTGTATTTTTTCATATTTATTAATTCCAGCATCAATATTGGGAATTCATTTACATGTTCTAAAACTCTAAGTGACCAAAGAGGGTGTGAAGCTGGTAATTATTTAAAAAATACGTGAATTTATTGTACTTAGCCACTAAGTGGAAGTTCGGCGGGTGATGGTTGACGAGGATGAAGGTATGTGGTGCGTAAACTATTCATGTGCAATGAAGTGTAGCTTAAATTATATAGATTTTTATAAATTAAATATTCTAAACCATATCCGAAAAAATGACCTTTTTAACGGTCAATTTATAATTCCGTATTTCATGTTCTAGAAGGAAATTGACACCCGTGCAATCATTGGGATACACGAAAATAACATACATTTTAGAGACTTGGTATTGTATGGGGGAAAACTCATATGAACTAGAGTTGATTTTCGAATGTTCTGGGCATGAGCTGATGTTCCTCTGAAGTGAAGCCATACTTTTTGGCGCCAATTTCTCTTCTCGAGATTTACGAGAAATTGGCGCCATATATTTCAGTTTTGCTAATAACTTAAGAGATAAGTCAAGGATAGAATGAAACACCAGAGTAATGCTGGCGCTGCGCTTTACTGCGAGATT